TAGTGGTATCCAGCAGTAGGTTTGCAGATTGCAACCAACTAAAACTTCTCCGATGTGCCAAGCATGTAGAAGAATTACAGTGGCTGAAGTGAACACGCGAATAGCCCTATCTGAAGCCAGTGTTTGGTTTGTCTGTTCTGGGTTACTGTAGAAACAACACAGCAGAGTCCGTGGAAGAGGACCAGGCCCCCAGGAATACAGCGCAGCCTTGCTTCTATTTTTTCCCCAGTGGCCACTTTCAGTATTGTAAAAGATCCCTTGCGACCCAAAAAACATTTTTACCACCATCATTCTGAAAGAGACGCCTGTAAAACTGTTGACAGGATGTTTTGAACTGTAAACAAGGTCTCGAGCTGGAGCTGAGAAAAAACTTATTTCAAAATCTGTCATCACAATCTGAAGTCTAAGAGCTGGGAGGGGTGAGTAACACTACTGCACATATTCTGCATACCCAAGAATAAAACCTGGACGCTGGACACTGAGCAATTCTCATTGCAGTGAATTTGCACCATCCCAGGGTCTGATTTCCAGATCTAATTATACATCCATGAAGAGGACCCGCTTCATATATAGATATAAGTGGCTCATTCTAAGGTAACAAAAACACAATGATACTTAGTTTCAGGTGATTGAATACAGTATTCAATGTCAATATATCCCCCTAAATCCTACACACTGGACCTTTTAAAAGCAACTGTGCTCTGTTTCCCTCAGATATCAGAGGTAATACCAGATAAATGAGGAAAGGCTACATAATGTCCTATTGTACAGATGTATAGAAATATTATGTAGCTTTTTCAGTGTAATCTAAAACGTATCACAATATGTTACTTGCACTTCATTTGTGAATATCAGCAACTTTCATTCGAAACCCCGACCTGGAGCTGTATAAAAAAACTACCATTAACAGTTAAATAAACTGTGACTTTATGGACTCCTGACACGTTGTTAGATCTTGTACCAAACCTTGAGGTTTTAACAAATTGCACCTGAGTCAACCCAATTTTTAACATCTTCAAAGTCAGCTTCAGACTCACATGACAGTCTTGAGGTTTTGGACCCTTTGATTAATCTTCGCGTTCAAATATTGTCTTTGTCCATGTGCCTAGAGTACTTCAAAATACAGCAGTTTCTTCAAACCAAACATCAATCTTACATTATTTTTTGCCCCACAGTGATGTTACCCTTCCCCCCTTACTTTGACTTTTTTTCTTGTGTATCAGATTAGTTGATGATATTATTGCCCCTCTTTTTTCTGACTGATCTGATGAGCTGTTTTTAATTTAGATTAGGGCTGTGCGAGCCAGAAGGCTGTAATGAGGTATCAAAGCATGTATCCATCTCTTTCAATGTTAGGTTTCTTGAGGGGCAGCAGGGGGCCAGTCATGGTGTGTGTGTCTGTGTGTGTGATTGTGTGTCAAGCCCCAGGGTGTGTCTCAAAGACAACCAGTAGGGGAACAGATAGGGGAGCCAGTTGGTGACTTTGCCCCAGGATGGGACAGGACTAAAGCCAGGCCTGTGTTTATGTGTGTGTGTGTGTGTGTATACAATTGAGAAAGCAAAAGTGAACGAAAATTAAAGATGACCCTACAGGGCCACCAAGTCATCGCTTTACACCAAGAGGCGATCTTTGACTTTGTGTCTCCCAAATTGTGTGTGTCTGAGTGTGTGTGTATGGGTGTCCATGCTTCAAACATCCATCCACTTAGGCCAGAGAGCTGGGGAGCAGACAACCTTCTGCTGGCTGCCAGGATGATGCCCTCACTATGGCGACAGCCTTGGACGCTATGGCGATGAGGGCTCAGAGCTGTATCCATGACAGTGCTGTTACCCAGCTGCCCCAGCGGCAGCCTTAATTAAGTTGGACATGATAGGGGCTGGTGGCCTCCCTCTCATTTCTATCCATGTCCTCTTTTGTTTTATTTTCTGTGCACTTTTTTTTTTTTTAGATTGTTTTTGGGGGGCTTTTTTGCCTTTAATGGACAGGACAGGGGAGAGAGATCAGGGACGACACGCAGCAAGGACAGAGCCTTTGTACATGGGGCACCTGCTTTACCACTAAGCCTTTTTGAATAAACTGTTGCCTCTCTTTTACTTGACCTCCATTTTCCCACTGTCTCTGAAATGGGGACATATGTTAATTGTGTGTCCTGTGTCTTCATTCTCTGTTTAAAGATATACTATGCCAGATTTTTTTTAAAAAAATGCGGAGACTCCTACAGAAGTAATCCCTCTCAATCATCACTTCCATGTCTACATACTGTTTTATTCTGATGGTGGATTTTTCTAGAGACCCTGCTCTCTTCCTCTGTTTTCTTATTTTCTTATCACTTTTTATGTTCAGGATGTTTATTTTCGTGTGCTCCCACAGCACTCAGTTCAAGTTGGGGCTTTATGCAAAGGTGGGAGCCAGGAGCCAGACGGTAGGCAGCAGGCATCCACGAGACACAGTGCCAAAAAAATGCAAAGATAGCAAGGTGAAACGCCAAACTGAGTGAAACTGAGTGTAATTTACTTTTACTTTCACTAATGAGCCTGCGTGCAAACAGTAACTGACAATTTTTCATAGTATACCTTTAAAGGCAGAGAGCCGCATGAGTTTTGGATAGATATTTAAATGATATTCATATTATTTTTTGTGTCTTACTCAGAATGAATTATTGTGTGTGTGTGTCTTTGTGTCTCTATGTGCGTGAGATAGTGTTTCCGGGTTAATGACCAGTTCTGCTCTGACCTCCTTGAAGGTCATGTGCCAGTGCTCGTTAGCAGTGTCACCATGGCGATATGTCAGCTGTCAGCACGATGGATAAGGAGCTGACAAAAAGAACAGTGAGGCGGAGGAAGGGACGCAGAGAGAGGATGGGAGCGAGAGGGAGGGAGGACAAGTTCATTTAAATGTGATTCCCATCAGAAGGCCTCTGCCACTCCTCATTAACAAGATACTTATAATTGGCAAGGTTGTTGCGGCAAGGTCCAGGCCTCTGGGATAGCGTTTGTGTGTGTGTGTGTGTGTGTGTGTGTGTGTGTGTGTGTGTGTAGGCTACTACAGAAGGCCTCATTCTGAGATGTGGACATTGGGGAGCTGCTGACCCCTTCGTCATATTGGTCAACCCTCAGGGAAAAACCCCCCTCTCTTTCTCCGGTCATCCCCCTCTCTCCATCCAGCCGAGAGAATAGAAGGACTAAACAACATGACAGCCTCAGTTGTTTGTCCGTAGCATTAACACGGGTATCAGTGGCTTTGTTGTCTGTGTGGTGATGGATGATAAGCGGCCTACTTTGGACTGAATACATTAACATGGGAAATGAATTTGTTGCCATATAAGCCAAACGCTGCCATGTAGAATAATTTTCATTTCATTTCATTGATGTTTAAAGTTGATTTATTGATTTATCGATAGTTTTCACAGAAATATCTTGTTCTAGCATTAATATCAATTTTGTTTCTACAAAAATACCTCAATAGACAAATTTTATGGCCGTGAAATGTACCTGAAATTGAGCAATGTCACACGTCCTGTCACACGATAATTATGTTTGAGACTTATCAAGGTCAGAAAACATGATTTAGGTCATTACCACACATATTGTATGATACTGCCTGTTGGTTTTTACATGAGATTGTCTCTAAAATTTTAGCCAATGTGATGCCAGAATTGACAGCGGGGTTTTCCTGGCTATTATAAGTCTTGGACACAATATACAAAACTATGCTGAGACAAGTTCTGCTGTCATATCTGATTGAATTTACAGTTCATTGCTCTTTTAAAGGGTGTACTTTCATTATACTGCTATTATATTATCGTTATGTACGTGGCATAAAATGGTTTTAAAATAACAATATCATCTTTGCCATTATTTCCACGACAATATATTGTCTCACAAAAGTAGTTATTATGATAGCCTAAATGTCAATCTTGCAAACCATAATTCACCATTTTAAGGCTGTCCCTGTTTTTGTTGTTTTTGTACCTTAGACAAAAGTGTCTCTTTTCACCTAAAATGTTCCACTAAAATCTGTCTCTGTCTCTGAAAACCTTTCAGGTTTAAGTTGGGAATGCAGTACCTGAATTTTTTACATTTTTACATACCATATATTAAATCAGACTTCAGTGACGTTCAGTTTTCGTCGACAAAAAAAACACACACAATGTGGAGGTTTGTGCAAAAGCACATTGTCTTTATTTCTGAGCAAGAATTGAACATCTAAACCTGAAGAAATACAGGTTTTGGCTGGTCTTACATTCATACAGTCATATTTTCTTGTAGAAGTTCTCAATCTCACTCAAGATAGCGATTTTCTATTGATACTGACAAACAGCAGTACACCCAAATGACCTCTGGATGGCAGTAGTGTCACATAAATTGCGAGTGCACTGCAGAGGACTGCTCACTCAGTGCCATCTGCTATGCCAAATACCTCATACTGTCTGTTATTTAAGTGTCGAGTCACTGTGCAAAGATGGTCTTACTTGAAGAAGTGTTCACGGAAAAATAGGAGGCTATGAATCAAAATGATCTCACTCAGTTACCGGACTCACTAATTAACCTTTTCTTAATATGTTCAGTTTTAATAGGTGCAGACCAATGACTTACACATACAATAGGGATCCATGTGGGTCTTCACACCTGCTGTCAGTTGAATTCCTAAAGGAAGTGCATTTGAAAGACTAATAGCACAGTTAATGTTAATGCAGGATGATATTTTGGCCATAATGTCGCTAATGATAGTCAGGCTTTGACTACAAAGGGTTAAATGAAGAATCAATTTGAGAAGATGTCAGCTGCATTATTTAAGGTGCAAGGCAGTAGTGATTTGCTTAATAGCCATGCCATTATGTCTTTCAAGCAGTAATAACTCCGCACTATGTCTTTTTTTTGTCTCCCCTCACCTCTTCCTCTTACACCCCTCTCTTTCTTGCTTTCTCCCCCACTGGCCAACCTGCCTCCTATTCCCTGTCCTCTCTCTCTCACTCTTTCCCTTCCCTTTCTCTCCCCAGTATAACTAACGAGGCAGGAGCATCCATCTACAGTGTGAGTCCTGAGGCGGTCAAAGAGATGCCAGACATGGACCCCAACCTTAGGAGCGCAGGTATGCTGGCCAGGCAGCCAGGCTGGTTTGTCTTCATCTGATGATGATTCAGAAATTTGCCAAACAGCTGTGTGATATTCTTGGCTGTGCTTTTATGGGCCCTTGTCTGTGTCAAAATTACTGGTGTTGTGAAAGACACCATGTACAGGGCTGCACCCAATGAGTATTTTAATTATCGATTAAAGGGACAGTTCGCCCCAAGATCCAACACACATATTTCACCTCTAAGCTGTAGTGCTCTTTATCATCAAGTTTTTTTTGGTGTGAGTTGCCAAGTGTTGCAGATATCAGCTGTAAAGATGTCTCCATTCTTTTCAATATAATGGAACTAGATGGCACTCGGCATGTGGTGCACAAGGCTCCATAAAAATCAGCAGCAGTGTCTCTTTCCAGAAATCATGACCCAGTCACTTGAGATAATCCACAGTCCTTGTTGTGAATATTTTCATGTAAGAACTATTTTCTTTCTACTGAAATACACCCACCAACTGTATCATCATGCAGGAGGAAGCGTGCATCTCCTCATGGACAAGGGGTTTATGCCTGTGTAATCGAGAGATGAAAGCGTTAATGCAGGCCATCCTCCTCAACTGTGCTGTAATGTTAGCTTGGCAGTGGTGAGTGAGCTAGCAATAGATGCACCCTTCCTGGCTGATATCTTCAATACTTGGCAACTCGCACCAAAACAATCTAGATTTATAAATAGCACCACAGGTTGGTAGAAATATATGTTTTTATTAATTTTGGGGGTAAACTGCCCCCCTCACCAAATATTCCCAGAGTCCAAAGTGACTTTTTTAAACTGTCTGTTTTTTACAACCAGCAGTTAAAAAACCCAAAGGTACACGCATCATCGTCCCATTATCAGTGACTTTCTGGCATTGCTGTTAGGGTCTCCTCTGTCTTCCCTTTGTCTCTCTCTTTCTTTCTCTCACTTGCCACCTCGCCCTCACTCACTCCACATACTACATCATTGAACAGCAGAATAAAAAAGGGTTGCACAGAGTTTTGCAGAACAAATGTTTCCAGCAGACTTCCTCTATAAAAGCCATAAATCAAGCGAGGCTGGATTATTCCTCACTAGTTTCGTGTGGTCAGCAGCACTGAGAGCCACGGAGAGCCATATTTATACCCCTAATGAAAGCCATGAGAAATCCACAGCGTTTGACTTTGGATGGGTATAGAAAGAGGGAGTGCTGAGCCAGGATGCTATGGTTAAAGAGTCGGATGTGGCCACAGAGTGTTTGTGTCTGGCTGGTTTACCTTTGGGGGTATGTGTGTTTCTGCTTCTGTCCATATGATTAACCATGTGACGTATGTTGGAAATTGAGAGTTAGACACCTTCCATCTGTCCCCTCTATTGTTGGCAGATCTAGGGACACCTGGTGGTGATAGTCAACATTTCAGCTCTTCTCAAGGACTACTGTTTTTGTGTTCAGTTTATTTCTGTGTCCTCTCTGTGAGACAGATCAAAAAATGAGCCGCAGGTGACTACAGTGTAAAATTAGTCTGAAAGTCGAGATCAGTTCCCCTGGACCACTGTCAGTCATTCATTGCCTGTTGCAGTATGACAGACAGTTTATGCTGCGTCTCCCCAAAGCTTGATCTGATTTTTTTTTGCCCCTCATGCTCTACAACAAAAACAGTGCAGCCACATCCCAACTTTTGCCCTGCCGCACGTCACATTCTTCCAGTTCTCCTGAGCGATGTGTCTGTGTCTAATCCAGGCCGTCCTCTTTCTTTTCTTTCTTCATTGCTTCCCATTTTTTGTATTTGGCTCATAAACTTTCAATAAGTGCTGGAGAGTTATGCTGGACTCCATTTACAAATCGGTTCGTCTCAGAGAGAGAGAGAGCGAGGGAGAGAGTCAGAGGCAGAATAGATGGAAAGGCTATTGGAGAGTTTTGGTGGTGCACTGAGCAAGGCCAGGGTTGAAACTCCATCCCTGTCTAAATATTATCTCAGGCAGCAGCCTCATACCGCAGCCAGAGGAGAGAGAGGAGAGGAGAGCCATTGATTCCAGACATACTCCCTCTTTTACATCCCATCTCTTTCTTTTTTCTTTGTCTGTCCGTTCCGCCTCAGAGATCTAAGTCTGACGTGCCTCATGCAGCACACTACATTGCCGACCACTGAAATTCAAGCATACACATAATGCACACATACAAGACACTGACGAGCAGCAGCACAGGGAGGACAGGGAAGGAGACACACTGTTTCCTGTTACTTTTGATTCATCATCCAGTGTTTTAGTCAAGCTGAAACCCCCGTGGCTGGAATATGAAGCCAACAAAGAAGTACCAAAAACTGCAGTTACTTGAATGGCCACTTGAGGCTGGCTCCGAAAGCAAGTCAGTCCCCATACAACCCCATGTAAAAATGGCCAAGTTTACAGCAGTGTTTCCGGTGTCCTTTTAACCACTAAATGTTGGTAGTTTTTAGCTACCAGTTGCTGTTTTCCAGCAGGGATAGTGCCATTAAAAGCACTTGTTTTTTACCAAGACATCGACACATCGCTGTGTTTTCTGCCAAGATTGTGCCACAAAAAGTGGTTGTTTTTTAGGAGACACATTGGCAACTACTCCAGCTGTGATTGCATCACAGAAACTTTTTTTTAAGCCAGAATGTGATCTTCTCCTAACCATAACCAAATGTTTTTTTGTGCTTAAACCTAATCACACATCCCTCTTCCAGGATGGACAGACGTGCAATAGATGTTGTTGTACATAATAGTGTACAAATGTAAGGTATCCATGGTTTGCGGAAATGTACAATGGCATCATTTTTTCTGACGACTGTGTTGCTTTAAGTCATGCATAATTAAGGGCACAGCTGCTTTGAGTGACAGGCTGTCTGCGAGGTGTCACCACAGTCTGTGAGTCAGATCCTCCACAGCTCCACCCTTTCATCAAATACAGTCACCTAGGATACTTGTGGCTCCAAAAATCCAAAACCATTAAGGAAATTAGATAAATTGTGCTAGATAACTATTTATGAGTTTTGGAAGTGCGTTCATTGTTTTCTTAAATAAAAAATTACAACAAAAATGACAAAGAAACACCCAGAGCTGGCACGTCCTTTGTGTTTTACAGGGACATAAATGTGTGAACAGTTATTTGGTTGTGTTATTCTGGCCCTCTCTCTGTGCCTGTGTGTGTTGGGGCTGATGTCATGTATTATGGTGTGTATGTGAGTAAGGTTGTTTGTAATTTTTCTCCTTGTCACTGGCTGGACCCTGCCAGCATATTCATGGAAAAGACATTTGGCCCTCATGTGCAGGAGCGGGCTGAGGCCTTACAGACTCCGTCGTTAAAAGCTACCCCACTTTGGTCGATGTGGACTGCGTGTGTTTATTTGTGTGCTACGTTTGGCTGCGTGAGTCAGTGTGCACGGGTCTGGTTAAATTAGAGGTTTTAAAGGTTCATGGCTCCAGCATCTATCAGGAAGCTAAATGACAGGTGCAAAGACTCCATTTGAACGCCAGCTTTAATTATTATTATGGGGCGGGGGGCAGAGGAATGACAATTAGGTTTTGGCCTGCCCTCAGGCCAGCATTGTAATATGGAGACAATTTGCATATTCAGTAATTATAAATAATATGGATTTGCATATTCAATAAATGTGATTCCAGATAGCAGGTTCATGAAAAACACAAGCCATAGACTCTCATGAGACACAGAATCTCATGTTTGTTTCCTCTCTGTGTGTATGTGTGTGTGTTGACAGTGTCCATTGGAAGACGCGTCCAAGATCCCCTGGCTGAGCTTGTGAAGATTGATCCTAAACACATAGGCATTGGAACATACCAGGTAAGTGTGTTTTTGTTATGTTGAGACGCTCCTCGTGGGGAGAGCCTCTAGTCCTCAGGCAGCGGAACATCTGCTGTGAGTTAGACTGACGCAAAGGGCCGAGTAGAAAGCACATTAACAATAAACCATGATCGTACACACATGCCTGTTGTTATAGCACCGCCTGCTGTCATTACTTATTTGTGGTCAAACAGCAAAGGCGCAAAGATGGTCCAGGATGTGTATTTTTTTTTTTTTTCTTTTTATTGTCTCATTTATTTAACCAGTGTGGCGTCTTTAAGAGAGTCCTGACCAAAGTGGCAGCATTATTATGTTACATGAACCAGCACACAACCAACAGTCACAAAAGGAATAAGAGAAAGAAAAGAGGGAAAACATAAAAGCCAATCAAACACATTATAACCACATCTCCCAACAGAGAGTGAAACTAAACATCAAATTAAATTATCAATTGCACTTTCATATTTTATTTTATGAAATATCTTTGTGTTTAAAAACATTTAAAGGAGCAGAGTGTGGGATTTAGTGGCATCTCGTGGTGAGGGTTGCAGATTGCAGCCAGTGGTAAATTCTCCCATGTGGCAAGTGTGAACTCCCGTTTATGATTTGCTTCAGTGTTTTTACCAGGAGTTTTTTATCCACAGAGGTCACCCTCTCTCCAAAACAAACAGATAAGGTGTCTAAAATTAGTAAAACCACTACATAAAACAATTTAATGTTAAACAAATCAATGTTGTACCAACGTTGTTTGGCTTGTCATGAAGGGGCAGTTAACTATGGTGGCCTATGCAAAGTCGTGAATGGCCCTATCTAGAGCCAGTGTTTGGTTTGTCTGTTCTGGGCTTCTGTAGAAACATAACAGATTGCGTGGATGAGGACTTGCTGCCTATGTAGATATAAATGGCTCATTCCAAGGTAATGAAAATAATGATTCTTATTTTCAAGTGATTATACACTAAAGAAAACATACTAATATTATATTCCATTTCGGGTAATATATCATCCTAAACCATACACAGTCAATCTTTCTTCTAAGCAGTATGTTCAGCACAGTATGCTCTGGTCTGTTAATTTGGCTGTTTTCACTCCGACTTCTTGTAGAGTTTAGGTGTGACCTAAACCAGACAAACCAAAGACAGTGGAAATTTGGAGGCTTTGAGGGAATGTGAATGAGGGATTGAAGATGTGACAGAACAAAGGAGTAAAACTTGAAACTGGTTGAGAGAAAACAGGCAAGCAGGGAAGTAGATAAACTTGGCCGAGGCCTGTGTCAACAGATGATGCTGAGGGTGACAGCCAATTCAATTAATGGAGATCAGGCATGACGTATGTTTGGACATTTGTTTTTGCTTGTGAGATTGCTGCTCCTTGTCCATATGCGTTCAAGTGTGTGTGTGTGCAGATGAAACAACAGTTCGCTCAATGTTGATTTTGTTCATTACAAGTGTGTGTGTGTATTTGTATGAGAAGGGGAAGACAAGCATTAGGTCAGTGTGCCTACTATTTACCCTTCCTATTAATGCAGTATTGTTCTCCATATATGGTAGGTAGGTTGTAGGGGAAAAATCATATGAGTGGGTGGAAATAGGAACAAAACAAAAAGGACAGAGGAAGACAAAGGCAAATAGAGTAAGGTCAAATTATCAGACTGGCAGCTCTACCTTGGTCCAGCCAATGGGACGTGTTTGGTACGTAAATCTTTATTGTCATTGCATAAAACATCGAAACAGCGGAGCATCTCCCTGAGCATGTAGTACAGTAAGAGGAAAAAACAAACAAAAAAACTTGAGTTGATCATTTCCAACATGGTGGCCATGTTGCTAACCTTCCTTTTTACAGCTAAACTTGAGAAATCTTGAGTCATATTTAATTAGCGCTGCCTAGTTTGAAAATGTGACCACACATGAACAGTGATTGACATGATAAACAGCTGTGTTAAAGACTCTTCGGTTCTGGTTGGTTGTTTTTGGTGCACTGCAATAGATTCTAGCAAAAGCCATTAGAAGGAATAGGAAGAGGAGGAGGGAGATGATTTTTCCCATGGACTAGCTATCGCATGTATCCCCCCCCCAGAATATAGTGACAGTTTCAACAAATGTGACACAAAGTGACTAACAGTAGCTTTAAAGCAATATTTCAACCCCCAGATGGCCATTTGTATATCAATTACTCACCCCATGTTATGATGAATACGTCAGTAAAGAGCTTTTCTCGCATGTATCCATGGTGAATGAAGGATCCAAAACAAAGGAAATTCTTGATGAACTGAAGTCATAGGCAACAACAGCAAAACTATATACAAACATGTGTTTACAAACACAACTCATGCAGTAAAATCCAAGTCTTATTTATCCACTCTATGCTTCCCAGACAGACAGCACTTTCCAGTGGGGAACTGAACTAAAAGTGGAATTTATCTATACTCTCTTTAATACCAGACTCCATTGGTAAAAGCAGGAATTTAACCTTCCTGAACATGGGAGCTGCTGATTTTCCACTGTCTTGATTAGTTTGTGTTATTGTGTTATTTAATTAATCTAAACTTACCCTTTAAAACACCAAAGTCACTCAAAAAACAACAAACTAACTCATCAAGGCAGCAGTAGACCAGCAGCTCCTGTGTTCAGTGAGGTAAAATGACCTTTTTTGTCAGTGGAGTCTGGCTTTGAAGAGATTAGTTTAGTTTCCCATCAGAAAGGGCTGTCTTCTTGGGACGTTCTGAGCACACAACTGGCTAAATGAAACTTGGATAAATCTGCATGAATTCTACAAAGAGATGTTTTGATATAGTTTTGCTGTTGTTAAACACAAACCGCTATGACTTCATTTCATCAAGAATTTACTTTGTTTTGGATTTGTCGTTCACTGTGGATGCATCTGAGAAAAACAACGCTCTCTTGAGAGATTCAGCACAACACAGGGTGAGTAATCGACATACTATGCTTTGTATGGGGTGTGAAGTATTTCTTTAATTGACCAATTTTAGTGAAGTGTTCATTTAGTCTAGTGAGGGATTGATGGTCAGCCCTTCACAGAAGGATTACTGAAAGGAAGCTCTCTTACCCTAAGCCAAGTATGTAGAGCATATACTGTAGCTAAGAGATACACCAGTTGAGATTTATTTATACTTTCCTGTTAACATTTAGCAGCTGACACTCAGGGCCTGTAAAGGTATTGTCATTTGTTAGTGTTGGCCGACAGAGCATCTCTCTCAGTGTTAACAAGAAAAAGATCCCAACAGCGTAGAGAAAGAATCCCAAATGACAACAGCGGCTCTAAACGAGAGAGAGACGAAGAAGGGGGGGGGTTACAAAACGACAGCAGAGGGTGACAAAAGTCAAAGGAAAAGGAAAGATGTGGAAATTTAAGTGTGAGGGGTGAAAATTGAGATTTGAAAGAGAAAGGAGGAGGTCATATTGTGCAAGTTGTTGTGCTTATGTATTGTGGCTGAGTGTGTTAGGTCACAGGCCCGTGTCTCTCATCACGTCCTGACTGGGCTCTCTGGGGTTCCTGGGGTTCTGCACCTCCCGCTCTCAGATCGTGTGACTAGGTCAACAAATGATAATATAACCGGGTAAATAAACTCCGGGTGCTGACAGATATGAGATGGGACATCACTTTGACCTGTGTGTCAGCTCACACAAACACACACACATACACACTATATCCTCCCCATCTTATTTCAGAGTTGAAGGGTTAAGTGTGTGTATGTGCTTGCATGTATGTACGTAGTGTTGTAGTGTGTGTGGTTGCGAATGTGGGAGAGCGAGTGTGAGAAAAGTGCACTCATGCATATGTGAGTTTTTAGCAAGTTCTTTTGTGTGATTCGTGGCATTTTGAGCTTTCTGAAAGTTTATTGCCATTAGACCCAGAAAGCGTAAGGGCAGATGTAACTCTAGACAGCTGGCACAGCATGCTCCCTCTTTCTCTCTCTCTCTGCTGACCCAGTGAGTGACAGCTCTGAGAGAAAGGAGGAAATGAGCTGAGGGCTAAAAAAGTGAGGCCCATTAAAATCAGATTGGACCTAACTATTGGTGTGGGAACGCTGTTTTCACTACAGCGCCTCTGGCAGACAGGTTTTTCTGGATACTGAAGTATTATTAGCATTTTTTTTATTTATATATCGTATTTGTGGCTACCTACAGAGCAATACATTGAAATGACTTCTGATATGTTAGAGATAAATTGTATTTATAGTTCAGAACACTTACACAGGCAAACATTTCAGGAGTTTTGCGTTCTATATAATTAGGCACTTAGTGGGTGTGGTCTTTGGACAGCTCCTCCATCTGTCAATCAGCTCTTTATGTTGCTATGGTCTGTTGACAGCTGGGTAATCCCCAGGACTGTGAAACTAACTGCTACTGGAAAATACACACACAGACACACACTGCTGTGTAAGAAAACATTGCCCGCCAGCCGGATATTAAAGAAACTGCCACTCTTCCTCTCACCTCTTTCAACCGTTCTCCTTCCTTCACTCCATTTTCAGACTTTCTGCGAGAATTTTTATGCTTTTGTTTCTATGACTCCCCCTCCTCTGCCTTCCTTTCATGCCATACTTTCCTCTGTCTCTCAAGTTCCCAAAGGGACCCTGAAGTTTGGGTTAATAACTTGTCACAGTTACAGTGAGTCGGTGCATTTGGAAAAAGCTGGTCCCATCTGGCCTGATTATAATCAATTTTTAGTCGGGCTGAGGGATGGTGTAACCTGTGATCATCTGTTCAATGAAAAAATATTAACGCCTAATAACATATGCTCAATCCAATACAATCCAATACAAATACTCTTTCTGTGCATGTTTACCGCATGTGGGGGTGCCATTATGTGACGTAGATGGTGCATGTGCTGCACATGACATGCAGCAACAGCTGTTTCTCCCTCTACTGATTTTGGCAGAGAAACATTCATATATTAAAAAAATATTTAGTGCTCTGATAGTGCTATGTTCTTATGTGATTGCTCAGATATATACTTTTTTTTTTAAAAAAATTTTGTAA